ATGAGTGAATGAGTTAGCAAATGAGTGAATGAGTGAATGGGTGAGCAAATCATTGAATGAGTGAGTGAGTGAATGAATGAGTCAGCCCAGCCCAGCCTCTCTAGTCAGGCATATCTATTTGCTAACTGGGGGAAAGGCTCCTATAGATGCAAGAATTACAGTGTCTAATAATAACTAGGGCGTGAGAGAGGTATAGGATAGAGACAGAAACCAAATCTAAGGTTTTTCAACATTTCTTCATGGTTCAATCCCTCTCAATCCCAAAGAATTCCTAAAAAATGACATCGGACCAAGCTTGGAGCCACACCCTTGCCAGGCGCCGAGGCACCCTCCCTTGATAGGGTCGCTGCAGGACTGCGCATCGGTCTGAGCAAAGGGCAAGGCAGAGTCACGAGCCAGGCAGCTCAGACAATCTCTCCAGGCCCTGATCCCCTGTCCCCAGCCTGCAGAGGATTTAATGCTGACGCCCACCTCCCCTGCTCCCTTCCCCGACTCCGCTGCCGGGGGCCCTCGGAACCATGCTGGGCTGCAGGGCAGCTCAGCTCCTCCAGGAATGGGCCCGACTCAGCTAATTTGCTTTATGGCAGCCTTAATCAGCACTGACTCGGGGGGACAAAATCAAATTAAGTTCCCTCTGTCCGGAGCCTGACAATGCAGTGTCTTCAGGGAAAAACGAGGACTCTGCCAGCCATTGCTAACGGAGGGAGGACTTACTGAGCAACTATTATATGCCCCAGTGCACGAGGACAGGTGCTGGGCCGCTCTGAGCCCCACCGCAGCTCACAACATGTCACGTGAGATTTTTTGCTGCAAGGATTTTTGAGAAGATTTTGATAATCTTGCTCTTTCAATTATTCAGGATTTTACTCACACACACACGTCACAAATGACAGTAACTTGTCCTCACCATTTTCTTATAATGTTTTCGTTTGCATTTTAAGACACATCTGTTTTGCTCATTTTGTTCTGAGGACTGAAACTTTATTTCGAGGGAAGTGACTTACCAGTTGGAGTAATAGAACCTTTCGGATACATAATCGAACTCATTCTACTTTTGCTGTTGTTATCTTTTTGGGGACTTTGGGGAGAGCAGGTGGGCCTGACAGGAGTACCTATGGGACCCGATGGTTCCAGGGAGAAGCTTCTCTCTTGCCAGCATTAGGGGCCTGCGTGAACGCGGGCACAGCAGTCAGGGACCCTACGGATGCCCACCTGGGCCGCACCACCACCAAGCCGCCTCCACGTCCCCGGCCACGCCAGCGCAGCCACCACTCCGCCGTCCCCCAGGCTGGCGCAGAGGGGACTGGTGGAAATCAGATGTCAAAGCGACAAAGAAGCACACTCCTTTTTCATTGGACCCTTTCGCCAAAGCAGCTAATAGGAATTAAAAAACAATATAATGATTTAATAATTAGATCCAGGACACATGAGGTCTTCATTATTATAATGATTACTTTTCAGTAATATGAGGAAAAACATGAATCCTAAAGTCATTCTCAACAATTTAATCAAGGTCAGCCGTTCCCTAAAGAGCGGCAGCTTCGTTTAGAAGGGATTTCTGAGAAATCCTGATAATGCGGCTATAGGTATTCAGAGCGATCCGGGAGCCAATGAGGCTTCCAGCAGGAACCAGGGTGGTACGTTCCATTTCTTCTGTTCTGACAAGAGAAATACAACAGAGTTCCCCAATGTGTTAATTTTATTAAAACGCAGTGGTGACTGAGCAGGTCAGAACCCATAAGCATTTTCCATTTTCCCCTTGGCGCGAAGGGCGTTTCGATTCTTTCATTTCAACTGCTTTGGGGTCAGTGGACCGTCCATTAATTCTTAGGTTCCATGAAGCTAAATTACTTTAATTTAGCTTGAGCTTAAATTAGAAAACGTGCCCGATAGTAAAGGGCAGCAGGGGCCGAGCAAAAGCTCATTCCTCGACTTGGGTAACATAATCTGTCCCCTTCTTTCCAGGGTTCCAACCCCAGACCAGGCCACCATCTCTCCCCACTCAGTCTGACACTACAGTTCATTCTCCATAAGGGGGCGGTAGGGGTGGGGTGGTGGTCTTTCTCAAATGGAAATCGGACTCTCCTACGACCCCGAGCAGCTCAGCGCTCAGCGGACCCCTGACCCCGGCCTGCCCCGGCACGACCCCTCCCTCCAGACCTGCCTGCTCTGCGCCTCTGCACCAGCTGGTCCCTGAGCAAAACCCATTTCCTCCTCTCCTGGCCTCCCCTGGTCAGCCAGGTCTCAGCCCCTGGCCCCCTGCTCCTCCTCGCCCACTGGCCGCCTTCCCGGCCCACCTGCCTGAGCACCGGCCAGTCACTGCCATGCCGTCCGTGGCCTTTCATCTCTCCTGTGGTCTTCCCCACTGACGGGCCTCCTCCTGAGTGCCCCTGCTGCCGCGGTCAGTGCTGTTTCCCAGTGCTAGGAAGGTGCTGGTGTGGGGGGTTGGGGAGCTCCGTGTACAAGTGAGCAGAGTCCTGCAGGGCACGCCAGAGAGGACCCACTGGGCGAAAGGGGGCTGCATGCCCCGAGGGAGCCCTTCCCGCCCCTGGGCCCTGGGTGAAGACTGTGCTGCAATTGGGGGTGCTGGGGAGCACCCCGACATTGCCTTCTGCCTGTCCCATCCTTGGATGCCTCCGTCAGCCAAATCCACAGTGGCCAGTCTCCCGAGCTGCAGGTGGGGCCAGAGGGTGGGCTTCAGGTCTGCACAGCAAACGAGAACGCTGCACTGAGCGCCTTGCACCCGGCAGGAAGGACGGAACCTTGGCTGGTCCCAGCAAGCGTCCTGGGTTGAGTGTTCACTACAGGCTGGCCATGGGCCCAGAACTCTGGCCCTGATGTCCCAGATCTTTGTCACATCCCTGCCAGGTGGACACCACGACCACCCCTGTTTCCTGGGTGACAAGCCTGTACCTTGGATAAGTTGAGTACCTGTTGAGGTCACCGGGCTAGCAAGTGGCAGATGGACCTGAGCCCATTCTCCTAAAGACTTCTGGGGACTGGGCAAGTGGTCAGGATGGTTCTGGGAGGCAGCATCGAAAGCTGGGGTCTGAGGAGCTTGCGGACAGGTCAGAACCGGGGGTGGATGCTTCCGGCAGTGAGAAGAACAGCTCCCTCGGAGCACAACGGCCCCTTTTCAGCCAGGCCAGATGACCGTAAGATCGTGGAACTACACGGCTGCAGAGAGTCTTGGGAGAGGCCTGGGCCCCCTGATTTAGGCCACACCCCAAGGGGAAAGGGGCCCTTCCTGCCCCGTCTCAGCCTCTGAGCGGCTCGTTCTCCGGGTCTCCTGCTCTACTCTCTAGCCGGGCCTGTAGCAGCTGGCAGCCAACCTGGCCACATCTGCAGTGATCACAAACCACGTCCAGGATCATCTGACTTGCGGGAAATCTAAGGACAAAGTCTGGGCCCCCAGCCCTCCCCTCATCCCCACCCAGCAGACCAGCAGGCAGAGACCCCTGGAGGCGCCTGCTCTCTCGAGGTCACCGAGTTCACTGCTGCATAGCCGGGTCAAGAGCAGAGGTCTCCCCAGCCAGGCACGCCCCGCCAAGTCACAAAGGCTTTACTGTATATATTCCAGACAGAGTAGGAAGACATTCAGGTTTTTCCACCCCGACAAAGTACTGTGGATTATTTGCAAGAAATCTGGGAAATTCCAGAAGTCTGTTTTCAAAAGACGCCCACTTGGCTGCTCAGCATTCTGTGAATAATCCCTCATTCAGGTATGGAAGAGGATATATTCTGCTGAAGTTTCCAGACTTCACACTCAACTGCTTGGGTGAAAGAGGTGGAGACGGAGCAACGGCAGACCCCAAATCCTGCTGCCCGGCCGTTGTCCCCCAGGCTGGCCCCATGAGCAGAACTGCTCTTCCCAAGTCACCTGGCCAAACCCCGCACCTGCCTCTCCTTGGCATCCCTCCGTCCTGGTGTCTGTTTTGCATTACCCTAATTCCAATTCTCAGTCGGCAGCCACCCTTCCCCCTTATAATGTGTCTTGGCCCCTGTGTGTAAACTCTGAGATCAAATTGAAATTCCAATTCATGGACGTAAATTGTCCATGTGATTTGAGTAAGTGAGACGAGACCCAAGGCTGGTTATTTTTCCTGGATTCCTAGACAGGACTTATTTACATGTTGGAAAGCACTGATTGCATAATTGAGC